CTATTTATTTGTTTTGTTATTTTATTTATTATATTATCTTTTTTATTTATTTGTTATTTATCAATTATCATTTATTTTAAAATTTTATTAACAAAATTAAATAATGTCGAGTCAACTAGTCTCATTGAATTTAAAATTACAGGCAGAAAAACAATTCAAAATGGCTGCCTACGAACAGCTGATTCATCATCACCTCATTAATTTGTTTTATAAAATATTCACATTAAATAAAAAATACGCTTTAATCAAAAATATTTATCACATTTCCTAAATGATGGAATTGAATTAAATTGACTTAAATTAAAAAATTATAAAACTAAAAAAAGAAATTATTTTTTATTATTTACTTATTAGTTATTTATTGTTTATTTATGAGTCATGTTAATAAAATTAAATACTATAGAGCCAATTAGTCTTACTGAATTGAAATTTTTTGAATATTCCCGCCAGACAGGCGATTTTAACCATCTGATTAAAAATGGCCGCCTTCGAGCAGCTGATTAGTCGCCACCTCGTCAATTAGTTTCAAGAGAAAATAAAATTCTAATAAAACATTCTATTAATTGAAACATTTTAACAAATTTTTCGAGTGAATAAATTGAATCCAACTGCTTAATAATCAAATAAATTGTAAAAAGATTAGGAATATATTTTTGGCAAATAGTTTGCCAAAAATAACATTTTAAACTAGTGAAAAAAATTGTTTTTTCCTAAAAAAAAAACCAGAGATTCTACATAATTCTTTGATGGGACCACGATTAAATGTTTTTGGTAGCCTTTCTAACGGGAGCTAAAAGCACGATAATTAACATTGTTCCAACTTGCGAATTCTGGGATGCTTCTAAGTGGTTCATCTCTCTCGTGGAAAATTTACGGCTGAGGTAATAGAAATTAAGTGTGTTAGTGCACACGCTAAAGAGAGAGAGAGAGAGAGAGAGAGAGAATGAGAAAGGGGGAGCTTGGGAGGCAGAGAAGGTCGAAAAGTTTTACTTCCAAATTTCAATTAATTGCAATTTCCAAAACTAATATCAAATTACACTTTGAATATCGAAAATAACAATTGAACACTAGAATTTCGAAACAACAATCAATAAATTCATTACCGAGGGATAGAGAGTAAATAATCTGCAATTAGAGGAGGGATTCGTTATAATTAGAAAATGGAAATTCGAAATGAGAAAAAAGTAGTTCGAAAATAGTAAAATAGTTTTACTGTTTCGAAAATGGAGTGATTCGACTCTGTAATACTGTAATTTCACTTTACTTTCACTTTACTTTCAAGTCACTTTAACTTCAAATTCATTTCACTTTCACATTCACTTCACTTTCACTTCAAATTCACTTGACATTCACATTCACTTCACTCACTTTAAAATCACTTCACTTCAGTTTTACTTTCACATTCACTTATCACTTCACGTTCACAATTACTTTACTTTCACGTTACTTTCACTTCACATTCATCTCATTTTAACTCTTACTTTAGTTTCACTTCATATTCACTTTACTTTTATTTTCACTTTAGTTTTATGTTACTTATTACGTGAAGTTAAGCGAAAGTGAAGAGAAAGTAAATATGAAAGTAAAGTGAACGTTAAGTGAAAGCAACTTGAAAATAAAGTGAATTAGGTGAAAATAAAGTGAATATGAGGTAAAGTAAATTTGAAAGTAAAACTGAGCTGAAGTGATTTTAAAGTGAAGTGAAAGTGACTTGAAAATGAAGTGAAAGCGAAGTGATTTTAAAGTGAGAGTGACTTAAAAGTGACTTAAAAGTGAAATTAAAGTAAATTTGAAGTGAAAGTGAAGTGATTTTAAAGTGAAAGTAAAGTGCAAAGAAAGTAAAAGTGAAGTGATTTTAAAGTGAGATTGGCTTAAAAGTGAAGTGAAAGTCAAGTGAAGGTGAAGTGAATGCCAAGTGAAAGTGAAGTGAGAGTGAAGTGGAAGTAAAAGAGAATTGAAATTACAGAATTGCACCCAAATAAATATTTTTCCGGGAATCTTTCTCGACCCCAAAATCGACATTTAAGAAAAAGAAAAAGGAAGAAAGAAAACAAATTGCAAAAGCCATGGAAAAAAATTACCCAATTAGACATTGAAGAGATTTCTTTGAGGATCTTTTTCTTCCCTCAAGTTATGATAAGATCGTTAGAAGTCAGGCAAGCAGATGAGAATGGAGTGCATTTTAATTAATCCCTACGGTGCCAGAGTTGCTTCATCATCTAGATTACTTCGTGGAATTATTTATACAACCAGTGGTGATGGTGGCACTGGCGGCACATTTTCTCAAAAGTCAATTATTCAAAATGAGCAAATTCACACGCAACTTACTCCAATGTGTCACCCATCTCACCCAATTCAGCCCAAATAACTTTTTTTGCGGTGAAAAAATAATTTATTTAAAAAAAAATTTATATTCTAAGAAATAATTTATTTTTAAAAAAAATTTATATTTAAAGAAATAATTTATTTTAAAAAAAAACTTATTTTATAAAAAATAATTTATTTTTTCACCTCAAAAAAAAAAAAAAAAAATTCCTTCTCAATTCCAAAACGTATTCTACACTTTTCGCATTCTATCGACTTTAAAGCAGAATCGATTTTTTTTGCTCCTCTCTTTTTATTACTGCTGACCACAAAGTCTCTTGCTGAGACATCACAGTATCAAAAAAAAAGAAGAGAGCAAATAAATTTCCCCCGTGAATTGTTCACAGAAGAATCATCAACTAAAAAGAAAAAAATTCCTCCTAAAACTAAATGCATTTTAAAATATTTCAAAGAGAAATTAATTCAAAATTTTTGCTTCCTCAGAGAAAAAAAAATATTTTGCATATGTGAAGAAATTGACAAGCGTTTGATTCATCATTTTGTTTGAAATTGTAAAAATCAAACACTCGGATTTTATTTCCCACTGGTGAACAAATCAACAGAGGGGAAAAAAATAGAAAATTCCTAGCCTTTATGAAATTGAGTCGAAATAGCTTCGAGCAAAAATTGTTCACCTCTGATTTTCCATATCCATATTTTATTATATGTTTATTAAATATAAAAATTGTTTTTATTCCATAAAATAATTCTTTTCTTTTATTAAATAATTATTTATTTTTTTTATTATTTATGTTTAATATTTTATTTTAATTATTATTTCATTCATTTATATTAATTATATATTTCAATATTTAATTATTATTATTTATATTATTTATATATTTTAATATTTTATTTATTTATATTATTTATATATTTTTAAATATTTTATTCATTTCATTTTATTCATTTTATTAAATAAAAATTGAATAAAATATTTTCAATCAATTCAAACTTTTAGTTCAAAATCAAAATTTTCCCTCGACTTAATGAAAATGTAGAATAATTAGGTAGGTAATTAATATCGAGGCAATAAATGATATTCATCTTTTTGGGAATACAGAGATTCGCGTAGAGATCGATTTGCGGTAGTTAATGACAATCAAGTTATTATCTGCTATAATAGAGGTGATAAAATACTGAATAGTTAATTACTATAGTTAATTATCTTCTATGGTGTGTTAGAGTGAAAATTGGTCTAAAATTTTATAGCCGCAGGGCGAATTTAATACATTCTACGCTCCTGAATAAACGATCTAGCCAATTAGCGCTCGGCAACTCCCCACCCTTTTGACGCACTTTCACCTTTGTCAGTATAAATAGAATGGAGAGCGAGAACTTTTCCCATCAGACGCTGAACGACAATTGAATGATGCCGATGATGAGAATTGTGTTTATCTTTATTCAAAATTTAATTCGATTCTCGATAAATCCCCACTTATTATGCTAATGAAAAACGGTATCGAAATTTTTTTTCTTTTTTCGACAAAAAATAAATAGCTCGTTTACTTGTTAATAAGTAAATAAATAAAAATTATAAATTAAAAACAAAAATTATAAATTATTATAAATTATAATAATATTTATAACATTACAAAAATTAAAAAAAAAGATAATAATTAAAAATTAAAATAATCAAAATAAGTACAATAATAATTAATAAAGGTAACTAAAAATAAACAGAAAATAAAAAAATGTTTTCGAATATTCCCGCCAGAAAATCGATTTAAATCATCTGATCCAATATGGCTGCCTTCGAACAGCTGATTCATGGTCACCTCGTTAATAAGTTTCAAAAGAAAAGAAAATTGGATTAAAAAGTACGATTAATTGAAAGTTTTTCATAAACTACTTGAGTGATTCAATTGAATTCAATTTTTTTATTTTTCCACGGAATATTCGAGTAAAAAGCTAATTATTTTAAAAAAATTTTCCCAATTTTTGTCATTTCGTTTTAAAAAGAATATTATTTTTCGATTTTTTTTTTTTATTATGAAAAAGTGACCTTATTTCGTTAAGCAAAAAAAAAGTCTTTTCGTTTCGTTGCGAATAGACGTTCGATAAGACTGACTCGAGAACGGAAAAGGAATGAACGGATACTTCGTTTCCGGCCTTCACCTCGGTTTTGATAAATTCTGATATTCCATATTTTCGAATGGAAAACTTACCACGAGTTCATCGTTTTCACGACCCATTTGAAAAGATTCCCCCATCTCGAAATTTTCCCTTAATAACTTCCATCGGAATGCCCATAAAATTTCTTCTATGAATTCGATTTTCAATTTGAAGAAGAAATCAATTTTCTCAATTTTTTTTTAAACAGACCTCCTTCGATGGAAATCTGTTTAAAAAATCCAATGGAATTCCCAGAGAATATCCAACGAGTACTTTTTCGTAAAGACTTTTCAAAAAAAAAAATACGGGAGAGAAAAAATTCTTTTCCTTCAGTGGACCATGAATTGTGATAATTTTTTTCCCTTGGAAAAAAATGTTTATTTTCCCCGGAGACCTTTCTTTTTCGAAGGAGGCAGCGGTCGCGAGAAGAGATTTTTCTTTTGTTGGCTTTCTTATTTATTGCATTTTCTGTTTTTTTTTTATTTTTTTTTTTATTTGGATTTTGGGAACGATACAGATACCCTCCATTATGCTTGAACTGCAGAAGCCGGGACAGTCGGCCACGACGAGCGAGGCTCCGGGGATTGCCGCCCGCTATGACTCTGCCAACACAACAACAACACTCCGCTCACGAGTCTAATTCCTAGGTACTAATTTATTACGCTTCAGGATACTTAAGAGGCAATGGAACCTCTCCAATAAATAAATTCTTTCCAACAATAATTTCAGCGGGAAAATAAAAACCGAATGATAAAAAAACAAAAAAAAGGTCAAATGCCAATAAAAGTAAAAAAATGTCAAAAAGGAAAACAAAAGATCAGAAAAACAATTATTTTTTTTGGAAAATAAAATTACTTTTTCCGAAAACTGCTGAATTAGCAAAACTTCCCAGGTGGTTAACGACTCTTTTAAACTGACGTCATTAAATGGATCGGAAAATCGAGATTAAGTCGTGCATGCGAGAGCTTTAAAAGAGAGGGAGAATGAGATAAACTCACGAAAGATCCGTTTTGGTTCGAGGAAAACTTTCTTAAGAGTCGCTTTTTCTCTTGCCGATGAAAAAAGAACCGAAGGGGGAAAAGAGAGAGAGAGAAAAAAACTATTCATCGCCGACGCAGAAAGAATAACGTTTCTATCCGGTGCAAATCAAGAAAAATGCCAACAGACCGGAAACGTTGCATATTCCATGAAAAATACGACATTTTTTGTCCCCTCCCGAAAGGGAAGCATTGAATTCAGTAATTTTGTTTTTTACTTACGTTTGAATCTAATTTAATTTTTTACTTTCATTTGAATTTAATTTTTCTACTTTCTTTGGATTCTAATATTTTTATTTTCATTTGAAATTAATTTTCTACTACCATTTGAATTTAATTTCTTACTTTCGTTTGAATTAAATTTTTTACTTTTGTTCTAATTTAATTTTGTAGTTTCGTTTAAATTCAATTTTTTATTTTAGTTTAAATTTAATAATTAATAAATATTATTTTCCCTGATTTAATAACAAAATAATTAAGGGAATATTAATTATAATTGTATTTTACTTACAGAAATATTTTCTGGACGATAAACAGGTTAATTTTCCTACCTCACACTGCGGTGGTCATTTCAACACTGACAGTGGTGGGTTGGGTCGCTACGGTTTTATAGTCCCGACTGCGGAGAGTGGGGCGCGCGCTGTGATTGTCCGAGGCGCGTCGCATTGCATTGCGTTTAAGCAAAACATTTGCGTTTTGCATTGATGTTTAAGATAGAATTTTATAAAAGTGAGATCAGTTTTTAAAAAGGGTTCGAAAAATAAATTATAACCGTCAAGTTTGGTGGTCACTTCTAGAGTAACAGTTCTGGGTTTGGTCCTCCCGGTTTTATACTACCAGTGAGAGAGTGGGGCGCGCGCTCTGATTAGCCGACGCGCGTCGACCAATTGGAAACACCCCCCCTACTCTCGGCGAGTCGTAGTATAAAAGACATAACTCTCGACGCGGAGCGGTCAGTTCGCCACCGTGTCTCGTGGCGGTAGGAATATTTCTACCACCTTTTTCGCACGGAATTAGTACTAAAATGGTCTAATGCACAAACTAAAATACTTAGTTCCATTGCCTCTCAATTCTCCCCAAAAAAATAAACGTTCGTTCACTTGTCTCAAGAGTGAATCTAAATAAAAATAGAAATTCAAAAAAGAAAACTATGTGATGATAGGTAAAAACTCACTCGGCGTTGGTTTCCGGGGTCGGTAGATCGCCAATCGTCGTGAGGGTGAGTGTCGACCAATAGAGTGATCCGAGATATTTTCTAGTTAACGTTGCGTACTCTCCAGGTCGATAAGGATAGACCCAGTCGCCCTGAAAGCCCTCCGCCTCACTCAGTAGATAGTAGAAGCATCCAAACCAATGTGCAAGAATTAGAAGAATATGAATTAGATTGAGAACACGCCAAAGATTTGGATATACTGTTCGCGACTCCACCATGTAATAGTAATTGTAGACTCGATAGATCTTGAGAAATCGTGGAAACCTGAGTAGTGGATTACTGCCAAGGTTCACCTGGAGTAAATCGAGTGGCAATAGTGCGAGTAGATCCAATACAAAGGATTTCGATTTAACATAGTGTCCGGCGAGTTTTTTATTGTTGTAGACCATGAGACCTTGTTCTAAATAGCCGGTACGAAATTGAACACCAACGTCTAGAAAGAAGACAAGATCGGTGAATCCGTCACAGGCTAACCAGGCGGCTGGTGCTAGGGCTTGTAATTCCGGGAGACTTTGTCTCACTATCAACGTCCAGAGATTATAAAGGACACAAACTGAGAGGAGCATCAGCCAATAGTAATAAAAGTTTTCATCCGGATTGACAACAGTTTTAGGTGGTTTTTGTGGTCTTCTTGGACGTCGTCGTCGTGTGTTGGGATTTTTTTCGTCCGCTGGATCACCCTCGCCCTCAGCAGTGTCCAATGTCTCCTGACTCTCTGGTATTTGTCTCGTGGAAAATCTCTTTAAAAAAGAATCCTCACGTTTTAATGGCGGTTTCTTTTGGATCGTCTGTATTGCCGAGGAGAGTTGAACGGTTGTCCTTAATTTCATCCAACGCTGATTGCTCTTCGTTCTGAAATCAGAGAAACTGTTAGGTCTTGATATTAAATGATGATTATTCCAAAACAACTAAAGACAATTTTTGATGAGAGCGATTTATTTGCGAGTATAGAAGTCAAGGGTAAGAGAAGAGATGTAGGTTTATAGAACATATCAACGAAAAGAGAAGATCCTCGCTCGTGCTGATTGTCAAAGAAAGAAAGTTTTTTTTTGTTACAGTAGATTTAATTACACATTTTGTCGCTTGATACCCAGTTTTTACGACAGTTATAGAATTATTAGAAAAAAATTAGCTTTTAGAATACATTAGCAATAGTAGAAGCAGACTATTACTATCTCTTGATGCGAAATTTACAATTTTTGTTTTAATTATTTCACTACTCTAAATTACAATTCCAACGCAGCACCTGAACATGCAGCAAAATAGGAAATATTATATCAATTCATTACTGCATCTGCTAAAATTGCAAAAGTTATTGCAACATTTAGGCAATCGACTTGGAAAGTTTTCCCGGAAAGTGTCCTCTGGATGTTCCAGTAGAATTCCGTCTAGAACCAGAAATTATTTCAGATTTCCAAAAGGATTCCAATTCGATGTAATCAGCTCGTACTAACTGAAGATCCCTGCAGCGACATTTACCGAAACTTTTTAGCCCGGACTCAAACCATAGAATTGAGTCTCCTCTGTATGGTTCGAGTCTAGGCTAAAAAGTGTCGGTAAATGTCGGTAAATGTCGGTACAGGGATTTTCAGTTAAAACCTACTCAGTACATCAACAGAAAATAAAACATCAGATTTCTGGACCAATTTGCTTGTAATCGGAAAGGAGTCATAAAATTTAATTGAATTTCTAACTGGATTGTCTTTTAAATTAAATATCAACAGATTTCCATTGTAATTTGGCTTGAAATCGGAAATTCAACAGAACCCCATCAGAAATCTGAATGAAAACAGAAAATTTCATCCGATTTCCAACGAGATTTCTCTTGAAATCAGAATTTTAACGGAATATAAAATTAGATTTAGAAATTTTATCACTCTTCCAGACAAATTTTTTGCTTGTAATCGAAAATTTTATTCGGATTTCTAAAAAAATTCGACTTCATATTAAAATTTCATCTGATTTCCAAGGAAAGTTCTCTTGCAATCGGAATTTCATCAGGAATTCTAACGGAATCGATAAATTCCATTGAATTTCCAACGGAATTTCGCTAAAAATCGGAATATTAAGAAAATCTGAACTAGAATCGGAATAAAATCTTACAATTCAATTGGATTTCTAACAGAATTCGACTTGAAATTAGAATTTCTAACGGAATTTCTCTCGAAATTGTAAATTCAACGGAAGTTTGTCAGGAATTCTAACGAAATCGATAAACTCCATTAAATTTCCGACGGGATTTCGCTAGAAATCGGAAAAAAAATTTAGAATTCAAGTGGATTTCATACAGAATTCCCAGGAAATTGAAATTTCAACAGATTTCCGACGGGATTTCGGTTTAAATTAAAAAATTTCATTAGTTATCGGAACGGAATCGGAAAATTTCATCATATTTTTGATAAATTTTCGTTTTAAATCCAAATTTCAACTGAATCCTATTCGGAATCGGAAAATCCTCCGAAAAATTTCCATTTTTCCGACGGCATTTTGCTTGCAGTCGGAATACCGACAAAATTCAGCTGAAATCGGAATCGGAAATTCCTTGTCATCGGAATATCGACAACATTCAAACAAAAATCGGGACAACATTGTTAAATTTCTACAAAATATTTATTGTAATCAGAATTTTTATCGGAAATTTTATCAAAAATTCAATCGGAAATTCAACGGAAATTTTTTTTTTTAAATTCCTAATAAAATTTTCCAGAGGTAATTTTTTTCTTTCCAAATTTCGAATATTGATAATACGTCTGCAACTTTAGATGCTGTGAGGAATTAGAATTAAAAATAGAAAAAAAATTGTTTTCTTTTAATTAAATAAATGAAAAATTTTACCTGATCTTAGACTAAAAAAGAAGACGAAAAAAAAAATTGTACAGAAATCAATAAATAGTCTTTCTTCAAGAATAGAGAATGAAAGACAGATGAATGAGAGACAGGCAAACAAACAGACAGACAGACAGATAGAGACAGAAACAGAGGTAGACAATTACGTTTTGATAGGTTGAGGAGAAAAATAGACGATTTTATAATAATATATACCTATATATATGTACATATAATATCAACAATATTGTGTTATTGAATATTAAAATAAATATATACATACAAACATGATGGTGTTTCTATAAATATTTCTTTAATTAACGTAGCACTAAATCGTCATTATTTCTAAAGAATTTTGATTTAAACAGTATGTTATTTAATTTAATTATATTTAATTTTATTTCATTTCATTTATTTATAGAATTGTATTCTTTTTTACTTTTTTATTAATTTTAATTTTGTCAATTTAATTAAATCGGTTAATTGTATTAAAATATAATTAGTTCTATTAAATTGAATGAATTAAATTCTATTAAATTTATTCAATTTAATGAATTTAAATTAAATCTCTATTAAAATTAAATTTAAACTGAAACATCTTGAGATTCAATATGGAGATATTTCTCTCCACCTGCGAACGCCAAGGTCACCGCTAGATGGCAGTTCAGTAGAAAAAACAAAATTCCACGCCGCCTAGTGATGACCTTGACGTTCTCAAGTGGAGAAATTTAACCACCATATTTTTTTATCCCTCAAAAACCTTTTTTATAAAAAAATGTTTTAGTAAAAAGAGTTTAATTTCACTTTTCTATCAAAAATCATGTCAAAAATCTTTTTTTTTAAAGATTTCATAACACTTTTGATACTATTTTTCCTTTCCAAATTCAAGGCCTTAAATAGTTAAAAAAAAATAGTGAAGGGGAATTAGCAACAAAATAGTTAAAAGAAAATTTTTTGTTTTTTTTTTCAAAAATTTAAAATTAAGAAAAGGAGTTGAGAACAGGGTCAGGGGAAAAAGGGGGGGTTTAAATTACAATCGACTTTTTATCCAGAAAAAAAAAAATTCTTGTCCTCCTTAATTTTATCTGTTTTGTTCTGATGAGCGCTTGCCAAGCGTGAAAATTACATACCTTAAATAAATCAAGTTACTTTCAGTGTTAAAGGGGAAGTATATAACCCAAATAAGGGAAAAGTTTAACATTAACTCTTTTCACCACACTTTATATATAGATAACCATCGTTCAATGTATATAAAGACAGTCAAGAATTTATAAACTAATTTATCCACTATTTCCAACCGCGTATACATGCGCTTAAACTTTACGTGGTAAAACTTTCAAATTATTCTGATCCCAAGTGATAGACATATATATATATATATAGAGGTTAAAGTTTAAGTACAACTTTTAAAAAATTAAAAAAGAACATTTTTTCTTTTCGATTAAGGCCAATAAATTATAGTGTAATTTTTTAATTGACATGAAAATAAATACTATCAAAGTTAGAAGAAGTTAGCAATAATAATAATAATTAGAGTTGTGCAAAAAGCTCGAGGCTCGAGGCTCGAGCGAGCTTTTTCGAGCTTTTCATTTTTCGGGCCGAGCCGAGCCGAGCCTAATCAGTTCGAGCCGAGCCGAGCTGTGTAAAAAGCTCGAATAGTTTCGAGTACTCGAGTTAATTCGAGTACTCGAATTTTTCGAGCACTCGAGGGAATTCGAGTACTCGAATTTTTTCGAGCTCTGAGTAAATTCGAGTTCTAGAGAAAATTCATAGAATTTTCGCATTTATTATATTTAGCAAATAGAAATATTGATTCAGTAATTCAAAAAAATTCGAAATTTTTTACTTATTAATAGTTTTTTTAGTAAGTCAAAAGCTCGAATCCATTCGAGTACTCGAATTTACTCGAGTGCTCGAATTTAATCGAGTACTCGAATTTACCCGAGTACTCGAATTTTTCGAGTACTCGAAGTCACTCGAGTACTCGAAAATTTCGAGTACTCGATACATCGAGCCGGCTCGGGCTCGGCTCGGCTCGGCCCGAAAAAATTTCGGCTCGGCTCGGCTCGACTTTTCGAGCTTTTTGCACATCTCTAATAATAATAATAATAATAAAAATGTTTAAATATTAAAAATTTTGACACTGATTCCAATATTATTATAAAAATCATTTTCTATAATTGGAACAAAGGAATTATAATTTATTTTTTACGTTTATTTTATTTTTTCTTTTTCATTTTAAACTTTTTTTTTAATGTAAAATATTTTATAAAATTATTTAAAAATCATTTTTAGAAAATTTTAAAAACAAGCTTCAATAGAGTAATTATTATAATAATATTATAATATAATATAATATAATAATAATAATAATAATAAAAATAATAATATAATTTCTAATAATAAAATAATAATGTTAAGACTCATAATAATTTAAAACTACTTGAAATGCCTACTGTTACTGAAATGCTACGAAAATAACAAATACAATATAAAGTAGATTATAATAAAAGAAAATTTAAATAAACAATTGGATAATTAAAATTGAAATGAAAAAATCGAAAAGTAAAATTCAAAAGAAAGAATTGAGAGTTAAAAATGAAAATTATCATACACCTGTAAAATGAGATTCCCAAAAAGAAAAATTACCAAAAATATTTTTCATTAAAAATTCCTGAGAAATAATGACAGTATTAACATTATTTAAAAAAAATTTTTTTTTTTTAATAATATATAATAGAAAAAAAATTGCTTTTTATGATTAAACATTTCTTACGTTTTGTGAGAGAGTTTCGATGAATTTTACGATTAAGGTCATCTTTCATTTCAAATTTAAAAAAAAAAAATGATTACAATGTTGCCACTTTAATTTGTTCTTACTTTCCTTCTCTTTTCAAAAAAAAAGAAAATTAATACAAAAAATTACTTATTTTAAAAAATAATTAAAAATTTTTAAAAGCAATTTAAAATTTTTTAAATAAATTAATTTTGAGTTTTAATATTTTTTTTAGAAAAAATTTTTTTTAGAAAAAAGCAAAATTTTCTATTCAATAATTACAAATTACAAATTTTTTTTGTAAATTCTATACAGGCTTGTAAGAAATTAAACGGAAAATTAAATTTAAAATTTCTAATAATGTGTTGTAGCACAGTTAGTAAGGTTAGTGATCGGTGGAACTTGAACTTTGTGGGTTCGAGTCCACTTAGAGGAAGATTTTTTTTCACTAAGAATAATATTTCCACACTCAAAGAATTTCAGTGATAAAAAAACAATAAATAATAGTAAGTAAAAAATAATTTAGAGAAATGATAAACAATTATTCATTGCTTTGGTCAAACGATAAAAAGCGTAAAAATAATAATAATAATAATAATAATAATAATAATAATAATAATAATAATAATAATAATAATAATAATAATAATAATAATAATAATAATAATATAATAATAATAATATAATAATAATAATAATAATAATAATAATATATCATCAAAAAGATATTAATGAATAAATAAATTGAGATTAATGAATTTATATTACAAATTCTACTTCTCGAATACAAAAGAAATAAAAAATTTACTTTCACGAAGATTCGAACCCGGGTTAACCGTTTGGACGATCACTGACGTTACCAACTGCACCAATGGCACTCAATGAATTGTTTTCCATTTCTCCACCTTTAACGTTCATTAAAAGCATTAAAATCTTTAGAAGAAAATCTAATTCAAAGTAAAATTATCAGAAACGTACTTTTCCTAAATAAGAAAAGTAATTAAAGTTTAAAATAATTAAAAAAAAATTAAATAATTCGACAGTGTTGAAAATTAATTTAGTTGATATTAAAATTAATATATTCGATACTAAAATTAATATTGTCGACATTAAAACAAGAGTCGATAATAAAATTAATATAGTCAATATTAATAAAATAATATTCATATAGTGGACACTAATATTAATATAGTCAACATTAATACTAATATACTCAATATTAAATTTACTATATTTAGTGTAACTTAATATATAAAAATAAAATGAATATAAAAAATCGACACTTTTTTCCCGCCTTTTTTTCAAATGCTAATGATTTAAAGTACAATTAAGTGGCAATATTGACGAGGAGGATTCTGTCCAAGGTAACGGGTACCTCTTGATCTTGCGAAGGGAGGAATAGAGCGCCATGACTGCGCGAACATTACTCCATTTTTGTGATCCCCGGGTACTACGGGGTCTTCGTGCAGCATCCGGTATTCCCGAGTCCCCGCAAATGCTGTCCAGGGAATTGGATGTCGTCGACGTTGTTCCAAGTCCATTGCTGAAGGACTTCTGCAGCGATGGTCTACGATGCATTCCTGCAAACCTGTTAAGAAGACCCATGGAAGCCCAAAGCTCTCTTTCTCTCTCCCTCTCTTCTTCCTACTCTGTCCGTCTGTCCATTACTCTTTCATTCTTTTTTCCTCCCACTCCAAATTTTGTTTTTTATTTTATTTATTGTTTTTCTCAGTTGATTCAAATATTCCTTTCATTCGCTTTCCTTATTTTTAGAATATTTCTTAAAATACACAATTTCTTATAAATTTTAAACAAAATAACATATTTAAAAAAAAAATCATCTCCTGCCGAGAATCGAACCAATGTTGCTATTCAACTCTATTTGTAAAAGTAAAAAAATACGTTCGACTCTCTAAATCTAAATTAGTAGAAATTTTAAATTTTTACTAATTTGAACTAGTGACACTGACTGTTTGCTATTGAATGAGTAAATTTTACTAATGAATATTAATTTCTACTAGTTTATTAGTAAACTTCACTATTTTTTTAAAAATTCCTTTAGGAGTTATGGAAGGGGGAAGAAAAATAAAAAAAACTAATTTTTTCGGAAAGTACTTAACCGATTTGAATGGAATTTAAATACGTTATAAATAAAACAATTTAAAAAAATTTTTTCAAAACTTTTTTTCACAAAAAAAATTTCAAAAAAATTAATTTTGAAATTTTCAAAAAAAAAATTTTTATTTTTTTAATGATACACCTTCAATTTTTTTTTAAATACCTTAGAGTTTCCTCTCTAATATATATTTTTTCCAGATTTTTGACAAATATAGTTTTTTCAAAAAACGATTTTAAAAAAAAAACAAAAATTCATTTTTTTCGGAAACTACTTAACCGATTTAAATGAAATTTATATATGTTGTAAACATAATTAATACAATAAATAGTGTAATTTAACCATCACTGTAAGTGATAGAATCATCTTCAGTTCTATAAATATAATTTAGAAAAAATATTTCAAAATTTTAAAAAAAATTCCAAAAAAATTGATTTCAAAATTTTTCAAAAGTTTTTTTTTACTCTGTATTAAAGTTACACGTCCAATTTTTGTTTTTAAAAATTCCTTAGAGTTTCCTCTTTAATATATACTTTTTGCAGATTTTGAAAAAAAACTCATTTTTTCGAAAATTACTTAACCGATTTAAATGAAATTTAAATGTGTTATAAACATAAAAAAACAGTTTTAAAAAATATATCAAAATTAAAAAAAAATAATTCTAAATTAATTAATTAAAAATTTTCAAAAAAAAAATGAGTTTTTGAAGTTTTTTTCAAAAAAGTCGTTTTTTGAAAAACTACATTTTTTAACAATCTGGAAAAACTGTATATTAAAGAGGAAACTCTAAGGCATTTAAAAAAATTGGAGGTGTATCATTAAAAAAAATCAAAAAAATTTGTTTAAAAATTTCAAAATTAATTTCTTTAAAATTTTTTTTGGAAAATTTTTTTTTTAAATTGTCTTATCTATATTTATATTAAAAAATTTTTTTTAAATCGGCCCAATACCCGATTATTTAGAAAGTTAGTTAGTAAGTTAGTAACTAACTAACTATTGTCCCAGTAAATTGTAAATTTATTAACTTTCACCAAAAAAATTGCTAATTTGATAAAAAAATTTGTAAAATTAACAAACAACAGTTGTAAATTATCAAAATCGATTTGTAAATTCTGAAAAAAATTACACTACTCGTGAAAATAATGATAAAAGGAGAGAAATTGACAAAAAAAGTGCCACACTCCTAAATAGTTGTGATTTAGCCTAGTGGTAAACGCTCTCGCCTGGTAAACCACGAGTCAAGCGTTCGATTCCAGGCAGGCGAAGATTTTTTTTCTTCTTCTATATTTAATTTCTCTCCCAAAAATCTCTTTTTTTTCGTAAAAAAAATCAAATTATCAATTATTTTACAAAAAAAAATACAATTTATTTTTCAAAAGAAAAAATTGCACGATTTTGCGACCAAAAAGAAAAAACAAGAAAATTAAATCTCTTCATGTGATTGATCTGAATGATAGAAAATGGCATGTTTAAGATAAATGGAAATTTCGGATGGACACTCGAAAACGTGGGCGTTCCATTAATGACACAGGATAATTGAATGACCGTTCGTGTTTGCAATAGAAAATTTGATGGTTGAATAAATTTGTTACAAAACGGAAATTGTTTTTTTTTCGATGGGCTGGAGGGAGGAGGCAAAAGTAATTTATTGCCTATTAGACAATAATAAATAAAATTAAGTCGAATAAAAAATTAGAAAAGAAATTTTTTTTATGGGCACATAATTTATTGGCTATAAATTATTTTTGCCCCCTTCCTCTAAAAAACAATTTAAAAATAAATTTTATGGTGGGAGCAAAAATAATTTATTCCTTATTAGACAATAAATTAGAAAACAAATTGTAGGGGGAAGGGGGGCAAAAATAATTGAAAAAAATAAAATAAAATAAAATTAGTCAAATAAAAATTTTTTAAAAAATTTTCGGAGGGGGGCAAAAATAATTTATTGACTATTAGACAATAAATAAAATTAATCGAATAAAAATTAGAAAACTTTTTTTTGAGGGGGATCAACAATAATTTATTTCTTATTAGACAAATAAAAATAAAATTAATCGAACAAAAATTGTAAAATAAATTTTTTTTGTAAAAATTAGTAGAAAAAGAGAAAGTAAGAAAAAATAAGAATCACTTAAGCTGCGTACATATAATTTTCAACGTTTACTCGAAGAGGGCGCGCGCGTCGTTTACCCCAAGGCAAAACCCAAAACCCAATTCAAAGTTTAATACCACACAGTATTTCGGTAATATTGAATTCAACACGTTTATCGACTATTTACCGAGAAGTACGAAACTTGAGATACTGATGGAATTGAAGCTTATATATATAATCCCCTTTTCACATCGAGAAATCTCCTTCGTACCTGAATTCCATGTTCTGTATAAATGAGTATTTTCCGTTTTCGTTTAAACATATAAATTTTACCCCTATTTTGAAAAAATCAAAAATTACCCTTTTTTTCCAAGAAAAAATTCCTATTTTCATTTTTTGAAAATTTTCCTTTCATTTTTTTTTCTTTAAATTCTTCTTCTTCTTAAATAAATAATTCTCGATGAAAATTGTTTTATCAAGAATTCATTTAAGATTATTAAGTTTCTTTTTTTTTATTAAATTTAAGTTTAAAATCAAAAACATTGAAAAATTATTAATAAGAGAGGAATACTCGATTGGGAAAAAAGCAACGTCACCAGATGGAGGTGCGATAGTTTTTATTCGAATGCAATTTCAGCGTTTATTCTTTTTTCAAGTCATTTACTTTCGTTTGCTTTTATTTTATATCGATGAAAATGTTATTTTAAAAAGAGATAGTAACGAAAAATATTTCCATTGAAATGAAGAACGAAATAATGAAATTGGGAGGAAAAGAGAGAGAGAGAGAGAAAAAAAATGTAAAAGACAAATAGAATGAAAAAATAAAATAGAGAAATAAAATGGTACAGGCAATAAAAAAAAGGAGATTGAGAAAAAAAAATTGTAAAACATACCATATCGATTGATAGACAAAGATAGAAAAGGAGAAAGTTTTTATTTTATGCTATTTTATTGGCGTTTTCGATAAATTACCAATCTTATCATAATGGCGGCAAATTTAAACGGTTTGAAAATTATACTTTTTTTTTTATTTTTTGATGTAGACAAAGATCCCAGAACGATTACAAATATATATTTTTTTACTTTCAATTATTTTTTAGGACAATTTTTTATTGTTTTTTTTTGACATTTTATCATTTAATTTCTATTACACTTATTTCTAAATTAATTTTCAATAATCAATTATCAATTTTGAATTTTCCTTATTAAAGTTTCAATTTGAAAGTTATAATTTTCAAAATTTTCCTTATTAAAGTTTCAATTTAAAAGTTATGATTTTCAATTTTCTATTATCAATTTTTAACTATTAATTATCAATTATCAATTTTAAATTATCATGTTTTCATTCTCTATTTCAATTTTTCAATTATCAATTATCAATTTTATATTATCATGTTTTCATTCTCTATTTCAATTTTAAATTATCATGTTTTAATTTTCAATTTCAATTTTCCAATTTTTCAATTATCAATTATCAATTATCATGTTTAAATTTTAAATTTAAATTAAAATTTAAATTATCAATTATCAATTTTCAATTATCAATTATCATGTTTTAAATTTAAATTTAAATTATCAATTATCAATTATCAATTATCAATTATCAATTATCAATTATCAATTATCAATTATCAATTATCAATTATCAATTATCAATTATCAATTATCAATTATCAATTATCAATTATCAATTATCAATTATCAATTATCAATTATCAATTATCAATTATCAATTTTCAATTATTAATTTTCAATTTTTAACTTTTAATTATCAATAATGATAACTTGTCAAGTATCAATTATTAATTATTATGAATTTTCAATTTTTGCTCATCAAGTTTTAACATTTAATTATTAATTATTAGTTTTTAATTACAAATTGACAATATTAAATTGATTGTTTATGAATTATGATAAATTGAAAATTGATAACAGAAAATTATAACAAGAGAATTGAAAACTGTAAATTATATATTGATAATTGATAATTGAATAACGGAAATTGAAAATTGATAATTTTCAATTATCATGAAATCAATTATTTTATTGTTCTGTTCCCACCAAATTTTCTTACTTCATATTTTTTTTACAAAACGCAATTTTCTCTCATGTCGTTAGCCAATTCATTATTTATTTAATTTACATTTGTTTTTTTTTAAATAAATGCTAATTAATAATTATAAAAAAATTACTCATCACAATCAAAGTTTGACTAAAATTAAATTTTTGTTAAAAGAGAGTGGAAAAAATGGAAGTTTATTGAGAAAGAAAATTCTTCAAAAGCGTGTCGATTTATTACTAGCGGAATAGCCGAGTGTAAAAATGTATTCTCTCAGAAATAATTAACGTTTAGGGTTCGATTCCCACTAAATTATTCTAT